CCCCCCCGGGGGGGGGGGGGGGGGGGGGGAGTGCTCTGCCATTAGTGTGCCCTAAGTGCCCCAATGGCTGTTGCTGCTGCTGGGGAGAGGGGTAGGCTCTGCGAGGGCCAGGCAGGGGACCCAGCCCTTCTGAGCAGTCCCCACATCTACACAGTCTCCCCCTCAATCCAGCCACAAACCCTACACCCACCTATAAAACCCTAAGCTCCCTCACATGCACCCCCTACAATCCCACATCCCCTGCACAAATCTCACACCCTGTGTACCCAGCCACCAAATGGGATGGGATGGGACCTGCCAGCAGGAGCCGCAGCTGCAGGGGTAACTGCCACACTGCAGCCTTGCCTCATGCCCACACTGGTGCTGTCTCCGGGCATCCAGCAGGGCAGCGGTGGCAGTGCAGAGGAGCCACAGAGCAGCCCTGGCATGGGCTCTAGCTGGCTGCAGCATGAAGGGCCCAAAAGCAGTGATGGGAAGGGACCGCTTTTCCTTTGCACTGAGAAGCAGCTTCTGCCTGGCTGCTGTCACTGCTCAGCATGGGTAGGTGAGTCTGGAGCAGGCACAGGGTAGGCCAAGGTTAGGGCTATTGGCACAGGTTCCAGCTGGTCCGCTTCAGCCAGAGCGAGTCCAGGGCCAGTGTTGGGTGGGCCAGGATCAGGGCTGGGGCTGCGCGCTGTTCGTGGTGGCAGGGAAGAGATACAGGGTGTATCGGCTCTGGGCTGTTGGGTGTGGGAGGGTGCTGACTATTGTTTAACTGTGCAATTAAAATGGCGATTAATTGTGACTATTTTTTTTAGATCTTGCAATTAATTGCAATTATTTTTTTAATCGTTTGTCAGGTCTAGTTTTTTATTTTTATCAGAGAATTTGCAATTTTTAAACAGGGAACACCAGGATCTCTGCTGGTGAGGCAAGTGGTGGGACCTGGGCAGCAGAGCCTGCTCAGGGCCAGCACCAGGGGCCCAGCTGGAGGTCAGATGAGGTGGCTGACCTGGCCATTTGGGGTCAAGAAGACATGCTTTGATAGTTCAAAGTGGGCCATTACAATAAGCACATCTTTTGGGTGATAGCTGCCCAGATGGCAGAGCAGGGGCAGGAGGGCATGACAGCAGTGCTGCACAAAGGCCCACTGTGCAGCCATGTCCCACTGGCATCTGGCCCAGAAGTGCAGGAAGCTCTGCTACAGTGTTCATACCACAGCCCAGGTGACTGTGTGGTTCCTGTCCAGGTCTGGCAGGTGTGCAGCCATGGGGCCATAGGTCCAAGGGGGTGGATGATGTCACAGGCGGTGGCAGGTCACAGCCAGGCAGCAGCCTCCATTGCCAGACTGTTGCAGTGGGTAGAGGTGCAGGGGCTACTCTATGTTAAGGCTGCTTCAGCAATCCAGCTGGCACAGGGGGCTAGTGTCCCCAGATACCAACTGGCTGGGCCTTGGAAGCTCCTGAGGGCAAGTAGCCCTGAGCACCTCCTGTTATTACCTGTTTTTTAGTTCATTGTGGAATTACACTTAATGGTACACGTAATATTTGATATCTGAAGCGTGTATATGTCTACAGAGTGCTGTTAAAAGTATTTCACAATACATTTGCATCTAAAGGAAACAAAGCACTTATTAGACTATTGTAGGGTGTGCTGGCAGCAAACCCAGTATTCAGGTTGTACAGTACTGTTTGTTATAAAAGATTTCTGCAACATTCTTTTACAAACTATTAATATCTTTGTTTGCAGTAAGCTTTTGTCTTTTCCCCAAGGAAGACACTCTGAGATTAGAGAAATATCATTTGCTCACTTCATGAAAGTTTACTGAGCTTTTGAGTTCTAAATAATTGAAAATTGCCCATTCCTTGTTTTGGCTGTTTAATTGTGGCAAGGTTTAAAAAAAACCCAGAACATACTAAGGCTTGATTTTCATAATGTAGACATTTTTGGTTTTGTTTTGATGAAGTAGAATTAAGAGGACTGGATGCAGATGGGTATAACACTTGTAAGTATATATTTGGATATGGAATCTTAAAAAGTTTCTTTTTAAAAAATACAGAATATCTTACTCATCATTGATCTTAAAGGTATTCATTTACTGCAGAAAAGCAAAACTTCATTAGGACTAATGGTGGGATTAAAAAAAAAAATCTAAATGACTTTGAGTAAGACTCGTATTCCTTACCAGTAAGGTATTCTAGGAAATTCTACTGTAATGGCAAGCAATAATATTTCTATTCAATGCTTTGGTGTGCAAATTCTTTTGGGATAGAAACTTAATTCCTTTTCTCTGCCTGAATTTTTTTGCTTATTTTATCATTGAAACTGATTTTTCCATGTGCTCTGTAGTAATTGCATCTTTGTTAAGATGTGTTGTGTAATTATCATAGTTAAAGCTAGCTATGCATGTGTTTGAGTTCAAGCCCACAGCAGTTCCCTGAAATATGTTGGATGAGTAACATAGATTGGGAACTTAAGCACTGCAGGAATAGTTAAGTCCACACACATTTGAATCAAATGGAGAGAAAATTACTTCCAGGCATTCTTTGACCTTTGGGTGATCATTTGAGTGAATCTGTGGACATGTCTAAGTCATTGCCATTTTTCTTGTGACTCAGTGATAAATTATAAATTGTTGTTAATCTAATTGAAGGTTAGGTAATAAATGAAAATGTAATTGTTTTCCTTGTGCATTTCTTCCAATGTGACAAAATATCCAGATAATAAATAATTGGAACTAAAATGAATAATGTGGCAAACCAGCCGCAGTATATATAAAAACAAATAAATTATTGATGCACAATTTGGGTCATAAGTATGAAAATGAATGCATTAATATTTTTGTTCTAAATCCATATGCTTAAAATGTTGAGTAAATAAATTAAATCAGGAATACATTAGAAAAATCAGAGGGCAGAATAACATATCCATGTGAAATATCTTCACTTGGGATTAAGGTCATCTGAGACAGAAAGGTGATGCTCCTGATTTCCAGGTGCTGCTTATTATGATGATTAAGCATCCCTGAGAAATTTTAGCAGATTGATTTGAAAACAACAGGGGAATAGGGGAAAGCATAGGGTTCTTAGTTAAATAAAAACATAGCTCAAGATAAAGTAATAGATAAAACTGCCGTTATGATTTCACTTTACTATATTTAATCTGTGTTAATTCTTCTGTACGTCAAATACCATTCTTTGGATTTCTCAAGTGGTACAATGGTTGCTGCTTTCTGCTGCCATAAACATAAGTGATAAAATAAATATATCAGGAATTTATTTATATTCCTGAATATGTTCAAAAATTTTTCTATATGTTGATGAGGGTGCAATGCTTATTGTTTTATCATTTCATGCTTCATATGTTATTTTATTTCACTAGTTTTCTTCCCTAATATTTTTTTTAAACACTACTAGTGCTGATAAAGCTGATGATGAGGATGATGAAGATCTAACTGTGAACAAAACATGGGTACTTGCACCAAAGATTCATGGTGGAGATGTCACTCATATACTGGACTCCTTACTTCAAGGTTATGACAGTAAACTTCGGCCAGATATTGGAGGTAAGTTAATGAAGAAATTCTGTAAATATAATGTTATAAAAATAGAGGCATTGCATAAGTTGTAATGAATGTTTTTCTTAACTGCCAACTGTTTTTGGATTCATGTCTCAAACTAGATAAACATAAGGCAAATAAAATGTAACAGTTTTGGTTTTTTTTACACATGAAAATAATTTCTACATAGTAGGGACCATTTCTGCTGTTTTTATTATCTTTCTTTTCTGTTATATGAAAGATTTCATTTTGAGGCAGTGTGTAATAAATAAAAGTACTGCAAAGCAATAATTTTTCATTTGGCTACTTTCAGTGCAACAGCAAACTATGCTGTGTACAGAACTGTCATCGCCTATCAAAGATTTTCCTGGAAGTTGCACAGACTTATTTAAATATTTCTTCCCAGTGCCTTATCATTGGCAATGTGGAGGGTGTGCATGTGGGTGCAGGTGCACCCCCTGAGTGTGGCAGTGCACCCCCGAGAAAAGGCACTGCCAAACCCCCCCTGAGTGGCACCTGCAGGCAGTCGCCACTCGCCACCACCCTCCTCACCACTAACACCTCCGGCAGCATCTGTGGGTGGTCACTGACTGCTGGTCGGTTCTCACCACCCTCCCCGCACTGCTGACAGCACCGCAGCTGCTTGCAGGAGGCCCCTACTTGCCACCACCACACTCCCGCCACAGCCAGTGATGCCACCACCTGCAGGAGCTCGCTGTGCCTCCCCAGCCTCCGGGGCACATGGTGTTCGTGTCCCTTATAATACACTGCAATGTAGTTTATAAACTGGTTTAAGTCTACTCAGGTGGACTGCAGTCTACAGGTTTAAATGCTACTCTATCTTTCCTCTTTGTTACTCCATGTCCTGAAAAAGGAGAGAAGAAGAAGGGGAGCGAGAAGGGAAAAAGAAACAGTGCAAGTAAAATCTAAAAACACTAGAATGAATGGGACAGAGGTTGGAATTAACTTGATATGTTAAAATGATAAATAAGAGGGTGACTTTTTCCTCTTAAAATTCAAAGCACTGATTTTTTTCCCCCCCAGTTGAAGCTAAATATAAATTAGCATAATCTCATAGTGGAAGCATAGGACAAGGGCATATGTGTAGCAGTCACAAGTTGAGCTCCTACCTCACCTGTGTGAAACTGGGAAAAAGTCACTTGCATTCTCCATACCTCATTTTCTTCCTGTGTAAAAGAAGAGATGATCTACTCTGCCTTGTAAGGATTATTTGTTAAATATATTGAACTCATTGGATACAGGCTGCTGTGGAAATGTATATCTTTTTCAGGGGAAGTATGCAATATATATGAATTTCCTAACTCTCCTCTTTTATGCTGTTAATTATTAACCTGGGTGTTATATCAGTGCTCTTTCACACTGATACACTGCCTGTGACACCAGACCCATGCATGAGTCTCAAGAAGCCTACATGTCTAATCCTGTGTTCTTTGCCCTTAGTCACACTGGCCAGAATAAGTGAAAACAATCAGACAAAAGCCAAAATGATTTTTTTAGCACAGTGTTTTTCAACTGGGATGACCACAAGACCCTTTTAGGGTGCCACCATGTGGGCTCAGTAGCTGAGTGAAATTGCTCATTGTAAGTAGAGCTAGATTGGGAAGTGGCTCAAATAAACCTAATACAGGCAGAAGTGCCTATTTTTAGCATATTGTTCCTATTGTTCCCCTTTTTTGCAACTAGTGAATGTCATCCACATAGTATTAATGCTTCTCAGACTGTGTAATATATAATACAGCACAGATAGTACTGAGAAATAGTGTATTTACCTGAATCCAAGATTACTTGAATTTAAGATGACTCCCTCAGTAATTAAATTTGTTATGATTTTCAGTGTGTAGAACCTAATTAATGGAAGGCCATCTTAAATCCATTCCCACATACTTCTGTGGCAGGAAAAGCAGTGGGGTGGAGGGTGGAGGGGACAGTGAGGGGAAAGACTCCAATCCTATTGTCCCCTGCCCTTTGCCCTTCCTATTTGCTCCCTGCCCCTTGTCCCTTTCTGTCTGCCCCTCAATCACTTGCCCTATTCCTGGTGTATGCCTTGCCTGTTGCCGTCTCCATGCCATGAGCCCCCCGCCCCCCAACATGTCACCTGCCCTTCCATAACTGTCTGACCCCCCTCACTCTCTGCCTCCCCCACCTCAATCCACCCTGTAGCCTGTTTCCCCCACCCCTTGCTTGTGCCTGCCTCCCCATTCTCTGCTCCTCCTGAATCCTGCCCCGCATCTCCTACCCATCTGTGTTTGTGTCTGACCCCTGCTGCATGTCCCCCTTCTGCCTAAACACCCCGCAACCTTACCTTTTGCTGGAACTCTGCTTTAGCTCTGGGACAGTCAGCAGCAGTAGCCCTGGCCTGGTCCCAGCCCAGATTAATTTTATCACTGAGCCCTCATCTCTGAAGTTTGAATGCTAGTTCCTTATCTATTACTGCTCTGTGTATTCTTTTTTGTCAGTGCTTCCTGGAGTGTTGAAAGATGGGAGAAGATAAAAGGATGGAAGGCATGACCAAGCCTGAGAATGAAGCCCTTCCTATTCTTTTCCTCTATGGGAACCTCTAGAATGATGTAATTTATTTATGGGATTCTGAGAGAGAGTGATTAGATTAATGTTTGTTGTTTCTGTACATTTTCAGGTCTGCTGTTAGTTAGTATTAAATATTCAGTTATAGATGAAGGAGACATCAGTCAACACATTTGTACAAGCCTAGTCAGAGATGGTACTTCCCTGAAGAACAGAAACTTCAAATAGATGTGACAAGCAAATGGTGATAAGGAGATTAATTAGAATGTAGGTTTATAGCCTTCATTTCTAGTGCCCTATTCACTAGCTCATAATGCTTTTCTGTTTCAGAGAATCTTCTTACAGACTCTTGCCCCTGAATAATGTATTGACTATCACGCTCCCTATTCTGGGAATTCATTGTGGATGGTGTGCCTTTGTGTAACGTTCATATATTTATGGCCAGATTGTTCAATTCACTGGTGTGGTCAAATATGACATCTTTTCAGATATACCTTCTAGATGAAGGTCCCAGAACATCTTCCAGACTGAGAAGATTTTAGCTTTTTATGTTGTGTGGAAACTCAACCAAGTCTGTCAGTTAGATTAGTATGGTGAGCAAATGAGGCATCTCTGTAGAATTCCTGGTAGAAAAGATAGGAAGTTAATATAGCTCTGATGGTGGGAAGGTTGCCCTTTACCTTGTTAGATCTTGCCAAATGGCACTGGATAGGATGACATATTTCCCAAATGGATTATTTTTCATAGCATCTAGGCAGACAACATTGCAGGCATGTATGATAGATGATATCTATGAAAAAAAACAGAGATCCAAGTGCATACAGGGACCCTAGCCACTGCAGATTACAAAGGAGCAGATTTTTCCTGATGAACTTTATTATTCATCCAGGGGCTGCCTGGTTTTAAAGTGGTGGCATCTGTTGCCAGCCACTGGATGATTAAACTGGGAGAAAAGAATAAATAATATGTATCTGCATTTACCAGGAATCAAATTGACCTGAAATACTTATGCCTGTAAATAAGTGCAGTAAGGCAGAAAGAGGTGTGTTTTGGCTTTGATTCAGCTATTGTGTCTTATAGCTCCAAGAGAGGTATCAGACAATTTACAGAGTAAGGCCTCCACCTAGACTTTGTCTTACATGTTTGAATAAGCTTGCTCTCATTTTAATTAAAAAAAAAAATTAAATGTTAACTAAGTTATAAAATAAAAACAAAGCAGACAATACACCATGGGTGCAAACAGAATTTTTGCTGGATCTGGCTACAGAAAGCCATTTATAGCTGTGACCAAACACAAATACACAGCTTCAGACGACTTCAAAAAATGGCCAATCAGGTGAAAATCTGATCCTTCATGCATTGCATGAGGGGTCAGATGAAGACATATCAGAACACAGTGTCTTCTGTAGCTTCTGTCTGCGCTGCCTCCCAGCCTTGAGCTGTTTTCAGAATGGGAGAGGGGAAAGAGAGGGGAGGGATTTTGGTCTGGGGTTTGGTCTGGCCCCCCACTGGAGGGTGTGGCAAGTGTATTGGAGTCTTCCTGAGGTGGGGGAGGCTCCAGTTTACCCACCCCACCCTCCAGTGCTAGTTGAAGAACCACTAGAATGAGTTCCTTCTGCTCCCTTCCCCCCCTCCCATTCTAAAAACTTGGCAGCCTCACACGGAGGAGGGCCCTGGCTAGGGGAAATCAGCTGCAGTCTGGTAGCCATCAGCTAGATTCCCCTACACCCTGAAACCAGCAGTGAACTTCTGTTTGGTCCAGGGGATCATTGTAACTCAGAAAGCTTACTGCAAAGCATTCTCAGTTACAGCGGGGAGCTGCACTTCTGTCTGCACCCCATGTTATTAATGTTTATAAGAAACTGCAGGTGTTAAATATATTATGTTGTTTATTGTTTTGTTTTTTAAAGATATAGCTGGCCATGCTGTTTTAAATTGAAAACAATATTTTCACATTCAAAAATATGATTTCTAAAATAAGGTGCTTTTAAAATAATGCATATAGAAAAAGAAAACCCTAAACATTTTTCTTGGTGCCAAGTCTGATTTAAATGATTGGTCAGGAAAGTGAAACTGCTTCCTTTTGGCACAAAGGTTTCTGGTTGGAGAGCAGGAGCTCAATGAAATAGGTATCTCATCTGCTGTTATGGCTCTGTTGCCTTTCAGCTCTTGCTGGCCTTCTCATTCTTGTCCCAGCCTCCTTCCAAGCTGTTACAACTTGAGGGATGCAAGGGGCATTCAACAAGTAAGAGACATATTACCAAAAAGGCTAATGAATTGGCAAGATTTGGGGTACTCTTAAAGCTGTCACCAAAGGAACAAAAAGCCAGGTCTGATGCCTCTCTAGAATCAGGGGGGCTTACAGCTTTGGGCTTCACAGCCCTCAACGTTTGGCCCTAAGGAAGCATTAACTCCCCAAATCAAAACCAGGGCCTCACATCCTGTTGTCCTGCTTATTGAAA